GTATGAGGATGCCCAGGGTTTAGCCTTATTACCTGCCGCAGGTGACCCTTTGAGGCCGACTCTCACTCAAAGATCTACGATTGTACAGCGAGAAATAAAAGTTCAAATTGTATTTTCTAGGGCCCTTTTGGTGCCACGTGACAGAATCGCAATTTGAAATAGATCAGGCACAAGAGAAAATTTATTGGAAGGAGTTTTGCTTATATCTTATGGTAACTACTTCGGGGGACATCGGGTTGTAAGATATAGTCCACGATTCCAGGGGCGCAGGCTGTTTCCCAGGGGTAAGGGGGGCCCATGAGAAGGAAACTTGCATTCGATTTTTGTGTGGAAGGCACGTGGGAGTCGCAGCCAGGAAGGCCTCGCTTGGTCGAGCGCTGGCTCAGCGAGCAGAGTCAACATCCCGGTCGTCTCATTTTTAAAGTGGGGGCACCTTCCTTCCTCGCAGTATCGTTTTCAGAACTGGCACAATGAATACACAATGTCTACCATGTTTCTGGCACATCGTAGGAGCTTAGTCATGGCAGTTATGGTCATTATTCTAACAGCCGGGAGGTGGTTCTGGAGTTGCTGAGACTCCTGTGGTCTGGGGTGTGTGGAGGTTTCAGGAAGGATCGGGCTTCGGCACCCTCGGAAGCTGGGGAGGGTGGAAGTGGGCTGTCAGCGGGGTGGCGTGCGTGCATCTCACGGTGGGGTGGGGTGAGGGGTGCCCAGGGTGTACACGGGGGAGGCAGAAGTAAGCACTGCATGTTCAGCGAGCAGGGTTCACACAGGGGCACCGGTTAGAACAACACTCGGCCCTTGTGACAGCTGGTTAGAACTGCCCTGTAATCCTCTCTGAAATGCCTGCCACCCTGCCAAGTGGAAATTGGCATTCTTTGCCCTGGCCGGGGACGCTTTTCCCCTTGCCTGCCTACATGTGGGCCTGGGCCGTGGAGCCAGTGAACCGTCCTCGTTCTCTGCCAAGTATCCAATTAAGAGATTGCATACCTGGCGTTTCTGTGGAGCTGCCTTCGGAGTGCGTCCCGGAAGTGGGTCAGCCAGGCTCGAGCGGGGCTGGACCTTTGTCCAGTGACCATGAAGCGGCAGGGCTGGGGACCCTCTGATTTGGGCTGGCTGCTCCCCGGGTTTCTGTCCCCCTCAGTGTGCAGACACGTGAGAGAAGAATGTATTCACCCTGGCCCCCACTTGTTCCTTGGAGCCCGGCAAAGCCCTCCGGTATCTACCAATGTCACCTCTGACATTTCCCCAAAACTGTAGCTCTTTCCCAGCGGGCGGTTGCAGCTCCCGCTTGCAAACCTCCAGTGCAGGGGATGCCCTTTCTCCTCCTGAAAGCTTTAGCAGTTTGCAAGCTTTTCCTTACATTGAATTCTGTACCAACACGTCTCGTTGTATTGTACTTATTTTTATTTCATTTTTATTTATCACAGTTACAAGCGCGGAGGAACATTATCTTAATAGCTCGTAATAGAGTCTAAAATCTAGGAAGGGAGATGTGTAAACAATCAATGTATAGAGAGAACCGAGAGGGCATGGGAGTGGGGGAAGTTCTGGCCAAGAATAGAGCCGAGCCCATCTGCAGGTTCCAGACTGGACGCTTGTGCTCAGGGGTCCCTTTGAAGCAAGGCCAAGAGGGAAAAAGACACTCGGGTCTTAACGACAGGAGGGCAGGCCTGCTGAAGGTGGCTTTTCTTAGGTTTTCTCCTCATTACAACCTCTTGGTTTTTACTCCGGAGCTGAAGAACAAGTGTCTCCCTTCCCCCCAATACATGGCAGCTGTTCCTTTTCTTCCACAGGCTGAAGAAGGTAAGATACAGTCCCTGCCCACAAGGAGGTCACAGTCTCACAGGGAAGAAAGATCTGGAAAGAAAAGAATGCTGAGTACTATACCCTGGGAGGGGGTATGTGTAGGGTGCTAAGAGAAGGGAAATGAGGGGGCCCTAATCCACTCCGAGGGGCCCTGTCTTCCCCACCCCACCCCCTCAGGCCACGTCCCAAACTGTGCGGACAGGGTCAGTGGTCATTTTTCTCTCTGCCGTTTGTAGCTGCTGTCTGTCTACCAGCAGTACTTCACTGAACACTCGCCACGCTGGCTTGTGGGCTCAGTGCTCTTCAGAGAGTATTTCAGCTGACAACTCGTTGAGGAAAGGGGCTCTGAGTCTCCCTTCGTGACTGAAGAGGCCCAGGAAAGAGCTGCAAAGTCACCTGCCCCAGGTGCACAGCTGGAAAGTGGGGGAGGGGGAGGCAGAACTTGAATCCCAGCCTCCTGACAGCAGCGCCTCTGCTGCCGCCCCCCAAACCACGTGAACTCTGCACTCCAGGGGCCACGGCAACTCTTTTCCAAGCAATGGGGGTGGGAGGAGGGTTACTCAGGAGACGAGACTAGAGAAACAGATAGAAGGATGGGAGTAAGTGGTGGAAAGCCTTACAGCTGGTGGCTTGCGTTTGAGTCACACTGTAGGCATCGGAGAGGCACTGCCGTGTTCTGAGAGCAGCAACGTGAGATCTGGGCTTGAGGACTCTGCTTCTGGAGGTGGTGTGGGGGAGTCGCCTGCGTGGGGGACAGGGGAGGCTGCCGGGTTTGCCCCAGGCACGAGCACGCTCTTAATGATGGCGTCGGATGGTCAGGTCGCCCCTGTGCTTTTCCATTTCGACTGCCCACTTAATTACCAGGGGAGCTTAATTACCACGGAAGCTTTAACACAGAGCGCTCTCAGCACCTGCGGTCCCCTGCCAGCCCCATCAGCTTCCTTGGGGACCTGTTTAGAAATGCAGACGCTGGAGCCCCACCCACGGAATCAGAAACTCTGGGGGCGGGTCCCAGCGATTTCTATTTTAACGCACCCTGGAAGTGACAGATGGGAGCTCCGGCGTGAGAACAACTGGGTTAACATTTGGGCATCTTCTCGGACCTGGACGTTGGGTCATATGGTTCGCCCCCCACCTACCAGGTGAAGGTCAAACACAGTTTAAAAAGCGCCTTTGCCCTTTTCTCCTCTGGTCCTCGTTCCCATCCAGTGAAGCTGGGGCCCAGGCCGCACCTGCACAGCCCCTCGAGTAGTGGAACCAGAACTACTCCGGGTCCCTGGCCACCGGGGCGCTGCTTGTCCTTCCAAATCAGGATTCCCACCTCGGCTTGTAAAGTGGGGGTTATTACGCACTGTGTTACGAGCATTATAAAACCTGCGCTTGAAAGAGTACATTCCTTGGAAATAAGGCAAGAACGAGAATTTGTAAGTCCCCGCGATAAGTTCCAAAGGAAGGAGAAATCTCGATAAAATAGGATTATTATATGAGGCTTACAGTACTGAAGGGGATTACTGTGAACATGATGTTTCCTGTTTATTTCCTGCTTTTGTCTACACGACATGCTCTTGGTTGTATGTTTTCCAGCAAGTATTTAAGTTGTGCATCTTTCTGTATGTCTTGAAGCACATAAAGAAAATGTGTGTTTATCCGCACTATCAGGGAACAGAGTTTCTCCTTCCCTGAGTATTCCGTTGGAATGACTGTAATCTTTACACTGATTAACTATTTGAAAACAGAACAATGTGGCAAACACATATAGTATCGACAAGGTCCCAGGCATGTTCTAAGTGCTTTATGTATATTAATTTACATAATTGACACGACAATCCTAAGGTAGTATTATCCGTTTTTTATTGACGTGATTAAGGCCCAGGGAGGGTAAGTCATGCGTCCAGGGTCACACAGCCGGTAAGTACTGTGGCGCGGACTTGAACCCATGCTATCTGGCTCCAGAGTGCTCGCTCTGATGCAGTACGCTGACCCCATTTCTAGGCTCACTCCTTTTCTGAGTCTGCAGTTGCAGAGCATCCAGCCATGGTGGCGCCAAGCTGCTGTGGCAGTGCTGCCAGCATTGGTCAGGCCGCTGGTTGGGGCTGGGAAAGCGTGTTGGAATAAATGCATTAACGCCCCAGTTGTTCACGTGTCCCGCCTGCCGGAAAGCCCTGCCACGCGGGCTCTGTGCTGGGCTATGTGACTTGTTGTGTTGGATCCCTATGTTGCATAACAAATTACTACAACCTCAGTAGCCTAAAATGACATACGTTTATCATCTTATAGTTTCTGCGGGTCAAGAACCTGGGCATGGCTTAGATAGGCCCTTTGCTTAGGGTCTCACAAGGCTGGAACCAAGGCGTCGGCTGGGCTGTCTTCCTTTCTGTGGCTCAGATTCCTCTTCCACGCTCGTCAGGTTGTTGGCAGAATTCAGCTCCTTGCACTTGTAGGACTGAAGTCCCTGTTTTCTTGCTGGCTGTAAATCGGGGGCCACTCTCAGCTTGTAGGGGTCATTCATGTTTCCTTGCCATGTGGCCCTCTTATAATGTGACAGCTCACTTCTGCAAGACCAGAGAGGGAAACTCTCGTTCCAGTCTGCTAAGATATAGTCTTACGAAACATAATGAAATCATGAGTGACATTTCACCTGTGCCAAATTCTACTGGCCGGAAACAAGGGGCATTTTCCGTCTGAATCCAAGAGCAGTGGGTTTATACAAAGGTTAGAGTCACGGGGGCTCACTTTAGAATTCTGCCCACTGCATCGTTGTGGCCAACGGGACAAGGCAGAGGCTTGGAAACGTGCTTGCACGTTTCCGCTGGGCCCCTGGCATTACTCTGAGGCCACGCCTGGGATAACTGGAGGGGAGTGAGAGACCCGTGGAGAAGAGCTGAGTCATCCCAGCTTAGACCTCAACTCCAAACACGTGACTAGCACAGCCCAGATCAGTAGAGTTGCCTCTCCTGCAGCTGACTGTAGGTACGTGAGTGAGCCCAGTCAAGACCAGAGCTGCCAGCTGGCCCATCAATCCATGAGCGATAGTGAGTGGTTGTTGTTTTAAGCTGCTGGGTTTAGGTGATTTGTCGTGTAGCACTGCTGTGTCGATAGATAACCTGTACAGCTTTACCATTTATTGCGTACCCACTCTTTACCAGGGGCCATGTTATTCTTCCATGTCTATTTTCTCATTTCATCCTCAGAATAACCCTTTGGCAGAGCGTGGGTCTAGTCAGTATATTCCTCATCGATACGAGGAAGGGTATCAAGATCGCGACCACCTGTGGCCAATAAGCACATGAGAAGATGCTCAACATCACTAGTCATCAGGGAAATGCAAATCAAAACCACAATGAGATACCACCTCACACCCATCAGGACGGCTACGATGAAAAATAAAAACCCAGAAAATCACAAGTGTTGGCAAAGCTGTGACGAAATCAAAGTCCTCGGGCACTGTAGGTGGGAATATGGTGCAGCTGTTCCGTAAAACTGTGTGGTGAGTCCTCGAACGATTCAGCATAGGATTGCCGTACGATCCAGCAATTCCACTCCTGGGTCTTGAAGGCAGGGTCTTGAAGAGAGATTTGTACATCCGTGTTCTTCGCAGCATTATTCATAACAACCCAAAGGTGGAAACAACTCAACTGTTTATCAGTGGATGAACAGATAAACAAAATGAGGTGCATACATACGAGGGATGTTCAGCCCTAAAAAGGAAGGGCAGTCTGATACGTGCCCGATTCTGGCTGTGTAGACTCACATGTTCTGACACGAGCTGCGGCACGAACGAACCATCAACATTATGCCGAGTGAAATAAGCCAGGCACAGAAGGGCAAGGGCTGCATGATTCCACTTGCGTGAGGGACCGAGAGCAGGCAAGTTCACGGAGACAGAACGTAGAATGGCCGCTGACGGATCAGTGGGGATGGAGGGATGGGCACTCAGTGTTTAACGGGGGCAGCGTTTCAGGTTAGGATGAAGCGAGTTCTGGAGACGGATGGTGGTGACAGTTGCACAGCCAGGTGAATGTACTTAAAGGCACTGAGTTGCACTCTTAAAAATAGTTAAGATGGTAAATTTTATGTGATGTGTATTTTACCACAATTAAAAAAATTAAGATGATGATTGCTGTCTCATCTGCTTACAGTGCAAGCCCTTTTCCCGGGGGTCAGCGATTGCACGGCGCTGCGGAGTCCTGAAGCTTGCAGGCTCTGATACAGACCGGGGTTCACATCTGGAATCCACCAGTGCTGCCATCTTGGCGACGTGACTCAATGTCCCTGAGCTGCCTTTGCCTCATTTGCAAAATCGAGATAATAATAGTACCTACCTCCTAGCTTTGCTGCGAGGATTGAATGATTGGACACAGAGAAAATGTTGGCACCGCGCCTGGCAAGAAGGAAGAACCCAGTAAATGTCAGCTGTTGTTGGTACCTGATAAAAGATAACACCTACCTGGTGAGCCTAAAAAAGACACAGTGAAGACTCATCATTATGCAGAACATAAAGAATGGAATTAAGAATCTTGGAAACTGAAAAACACAGCATATGGTTTCATACCTACTGTGTGATCATAAGAACAAACAACTTGTTTTTTTCCCTCGGGTTAGTATTCAAAATTAAGGGAAAATTGCCCACAGTCAAGTCTGGGCATGATGAAAATGGGTCACAGTACAAAGCCTTCCACAGTCAAATGATTCAGTTAGTGTTGAAACAGCCCAGTCCCAGCGCTGGGGCCCCTTCCCTGCTCCCCTGGCTCATGGTCAGCTCTCCCCTCTGAAGCCCTGAGCCCCTCTGGAAGCCGGGGGCCTTACCTGGCTCAAAACTGGGTGAACTCTTTGAGGCTGGGGCTGCGTCTGGTTTCCACAGTATGTCACTGTGCTTGACACGAAGAAGGCTCTCAGGAGTGCCCCCAGGACTGAATCCTGTTTTGGGGGACATAGTTGGATGTTCCCTAAGAACTTGGAAAGAAGTTTATACTCTGTGAATTCAACTTTAAGTCCCACACATAATGGATCACAAAAGAGGTGCAAAATGTAGCCCTTTAAGCGTGAAGACACCCCGGCCACCGAAGACCTTGGCATTATCCTCTGAAGGGAATGCATGTGCATCGGAAGGTGGCCTTGGCCAGTGGTGCAGGGTGGTCCAGCCCTGAAGGAATGGAAGCGGGCATCACAGAGGCAGACGTTTCCAGGACTGCCCAGTTCGCATCAGGGAAGGAGTCATGCTGGCATCTGGGTTCGCTGGTCAAGTCATGTCCATGGTGAGGGGAACCGGAATCCTATGATTCTGGTTCTGTGTTCACCGAGTCTGCTAGAGAGGCCGCCTACAGGGAAATAGCGGACTAGTTATATGGACCCAAGCATTTTTGTTGCCATGTGTCGTAGGCAGAATAATGCAGCCTCCCCGCCAAAAA